ACCTAGCTTCATATTTCAGATATGTTTTTTTTGCCATGTCCAGAGAATCTTGTTGTTAACCTGCTTGAACAAAAAACACTTTTCAAGGAGTTGCTTTCACAACTTCCTCATCGATTTACAAATAATCTTGATAATGGTTCAGCTTTAGGTGCCGCTTTACAAGCTGCTTATAAACTTATAGTAAGAATGATAGTTGTATACTTATTAATAATAGTTATAATATTCTCAAACTAACTATAATACTGAAAAAATTAACTTTAGTTTGTAATGTTTTGCAAATCACTATATCAATAAATCATTTTTACAGTTTGCTACTGGTGGTCGGGTTACTGTTTTCCAAACATGCTTGCCAAATATTGGACCAGGAGCTTTAACATCAAGGTACAATCAGAATAATTAATTGAGAATTTTTTTACTTTGAATTTTATTTCAATAGTATATAATACGAATAATAATATATAAAATAAAATTAATTAAAAATACTAATATAATATATATATATATATATATATATAATAAATTGATTTAATTACAAATAGGGAGGATCCCAATGATCGATCTTCATCTCATGTGTCTCATTTGGGACCAGCCACTGATTTTTACAAACGTCTTGCTCTCGATTGTTCAGGGCAACAAATTGCTGTTGATTTATTCCTTTTGAACAGCCAATACTCAGATTTGGCAACATTATCCGGAATTAGTAGGTTTAGCGGTGGCTGCATGTATCATCTACCATTATTCAAAGCTGATAGAGCTCAACATGCTGATCAGCTATCAAAAATGTTTGCACGTTATCTCACTAGAAAAATAGGATTTGAAGCTGTTATGAGAGTTCGATGTACAAGGTAAATGGAGGAATGAATACAACAAAGAAAATTTTAATTTCTATATATGGATATAATAAGATCCATATATTCAATTGGTTAAGTTTTGTATATGATTAACATTAATTAATTTTTAATTTTTCAATATTTTTTGTACATAATAAATAATAAATAGATTTTATAAATTAATATTCTTTCAGGGGTATGTCCATACACACATTCCATGGAAATTTCTTTGTCAGATCTACAGATCTTTTAAGTTTGCCTAATGTTAATCCTGATGCTGGTTTCGGTATGCAATTATCTATTGACGAGAGTTTACAGGATGCTCAAACTGTTTGTCTGCAGGCAGCTTTATTGTACACGTCTAGTAAAGGTATTAATTATTACTTTACAATAAAATAAAATAGTATTGTTAACATTACTAAATAAATTTGTTATAGGGGAACGAAGGATAAGAGTACACACGCTTTGCTTACCAGTTAGTTCCAGTTTGAGTGAAATTATGTTTGGTGCAGATGCACAATGCATTGTTGGATTATTAGCAAAAATGGGTAAATATGAATGTAATCTTTACATAAATAATTACATTAAATATATAAAATTTTGGCATTACTTTTTGCTATTTTTGCTATAAATTGTCTCATATGAAATAAATTTTATAAATATGATTTTCAGCCGTTGATAGATCTCTGCAATCCAGCTTGACTGATGCTCGTGATGCTTTTATTAATGTTTGTGTGGACGCATTAGGAGCATTCCGAGCTACACAAAACTTACCAAATGGTTATCAATCACATAGCCTTTGTGTGCCAGAAGGACTCAAACTATTGCCACTTTATATACACGCACTGATGAAACATGTATGTATAATAAATAGTGTCAATTTATTTTTCATGTATTACAGAAGTATTACATTCTAATTTTTGTTAATTTCGTGGTCAAGGTTGCATTTAGAGTAGGAACTAGTACGAGGTTGGATGACAGAATCTTTGCAATGTGTGAAATGAAATCTCTGCCTTTGGACCAACTAATCAAACAAATTTATCCTAATTTTTATCCACTGCATTATCTGAATGAAATTGATAACTATGATTTGGAAAAAGAAGTTCCTACACTGCCTAGACTACAATTAACAGCAGAAAAGTGAGAATTTGGAATTGGCTTTTATTTAACCATCATTGCTTTTTATACATATATTATTTTATATCTTATTTGTATTTCAGATTGGATTCAAATGGCGTATTTCTTTTGGATTCCGGTCCAATTATTTTTATTTATGTGGGTAGTAATTGCTCTCCAAACTTCTTAAGGACTGCATTTGGTGTACCTAGTATCATGGAAATTCAAGATATTTCACATGAACTGCCAGTGATATCTACTAAGCAAAATGAGGCCATCCATGCTTTCATAAAATCATTGAATGATGAAAAGCCATATGCTGCAGTTCTTAATATTATTAGGTAATATTCAATTTTTGATTCATTATCAATGGGTAAAAGTTGAGTAGTATCAAAAGTTGCTAGGCCCAAATAAAAACTTTTCATATAAAATATACTTTGTATAAGTTTTTAAACAATTTTCATTTATTGATATAAAAAATAATTTGATTCAATTGCCTTATAAACTCTATTTGCTTTGGTATATTTACTTTCTTTTTATATTATACTTGGTCAACTTGAAGTAACTAAACCAACATTTTATTTTTTTCAGGGATAATGGACCATATAAAAATATGTTTACTGAGAAACTTGTGGATGATAGAATGGAAAATTCATTATCATACTATGAATTCTTACAACATTTAAAAACTAATGTGAAATGAAACTAAATTAATAGTGCCTAAGGCAAGTCGTGACTGTGAAGTGCTTGAGCTTTCAAGTTACTGAGTTTGTGGTTTAGTATCCAATATTTGTTTTTCTTTTATTACAGTTTTATTATAAAAATGAAATTAAAAAAGTGTTATTTGTTCTCTCGACAGACATTTAGACATTTTAATGTGCTTATGGATAAGGTGTTCCTGAATATTACATGGATAAAAATTATATATATGTATATATATATATATATATATATAATTTTTTATCAATATGTATGTATTAACACATATAATGTGGAAATTGTATAAGTATACTTGAAAACATATGTATACATACGTACATAGTCCAAATTTGTGGTGAATACCATTTGAAATTTGTTATTATATTTATATGAAGTTATCTTGTATATTTAAAATTATTTAATCTAAAAAAGCCTATTTTAGAATGTTTTTATTATAAAAAGACTTGATTTAAATTTAAGTATGGTTTGTGTTTTTTTTTCTTTTTAGTAATGAGCTCTGTTTTTTATTTACTCGATTTATTGTTGGTCGAATTTGAAATGTACACTTTTTTACAATTTTTAAGAAAATAATATAAAATAAAAAACATTTCATTGTTCTGATACAGTAAAACTTTTATAGCTTAAAAAAGGTATTTGTTGTAATTATAACTTCATTTTGAATAGTAAAAAAGAGTACATTTCAAATTGGATACAATCTTCTTTGATAAAATATGTTGATTAAATTGTTTTTCTAAAACACCAATGAAATAAACTCTTAAATTAATTAATATGAAGCTAACTATACTTTAAGTGTTTTGTGTTAAGGATATGAAATGCACAACAAATTTATTGTATGATATTCTCTTTTTGAAGATTCAATTTGTTTATATACGAAAAAAAATTGTTGAGACCATTGTCTAATAGATAAAATGAAATATGAAAAAAAACTCTTTAAAACATTGTTTTCTCTTTTATAAAATTATGGAAGTTGTTAGTTTAGTGCGGAAAGGCAAAAAACACTCTTTCGTAGTAAAATACTTTTTTTTTTTTTTTTTAGGATATATGATTTTACAAAAATATTTCATATGAATCTTTAAACAATTATATATGCATATGTAATTGTATTTTACACAATGATGAAATAAGATCTGTGTACATGTTCAAACCCTGCCTTAGTGTTTTGTATTTTTATGAAACATTTATATTAGTATTTAAAGCGCTGCTGGGATAGTTTAATAAAATTTTTTTTTTGTTTTTAATATCTTATTAACTAAGCACTATATCTGTTTATTTTTGAATGATAGTATTCTCATCTCTTAAATGTAGATAATATGTAATTATATAGTAATCTAAATTAATAATTTAATTTATTCTCCTATAGATTTAATAGCATCTAGTCTCTCTATCATTAATTTTTTTATGCTATAATTTGAATGTACCGCCAAAGTGCGTTATGACCCCGTAACTAATTTTTTTGTGTAAGAACTGGAAATATTCTTCATCATCTCCATGTTATATACAGAATGGTCGTTTACTAAATATATTAATATGGTATTTGCGCAACTTTAGAGATTTGTAAGTTTATTAAAAAAATTAATTAAATCAAAAAAAAAAAATGGTTCAAGAACTTTTGTCAAGGTTTAATTACTGGTTGTAAAGGTAGATTAAATAAATTTGAAGCTATTAAAATTATAGTTTTTCGTCTAACCGTACTAAACCGGCGACGCCTCTGTAAGCCTGAAGGAATATTTAATGTCAATAGTCTGTAAGTAAATATGAACATGTCAAAGTAATTTAGTCTATTGTAAATTTTTAAGATGTATAATATAACTGAATATGAAATAGTCACATTTTCAACAAGGTTTTCTTATTTATTATAATCATAAGTGAATTTGACAAGTGTTTATGGTACTCATAAATAGGTCTTAAAGCAACTCATTTTGAAATAGACCAATGGGTAAGTAGTTTTTTTTTGTCAATATCAAGTTCACAATAATCGTGAAATTCACATGCATGAAACCTATATTTTAGAATTAAGAACATTTTGCATTTAATTAAATAATATGTATTTCATCAATATTCAACTGAGCTCTTTATAAATTTACCTTGCAAGTTTCTAACATTGGAACGAATTATATTGATTAGATATTTGACAACCTAATATCTATCATCTGATTCTGTCATATAATATTACATAATTTTTTTAAACAAATAATGCATTGTACATTTTAGGACATTCTTGGTACGATAAAAAATTCATCACAATATTTAATTAACTAGTTTCTTTTGCATAAAATTAGAAAAGCACTTACGTCAACAATACAAGTGTTCTAAATATATTTTTGGGAATTATCTTCTTGCAAAAAAAAACAATTAACATTTTATACAGCCTCAACAAACTTTATTATTAATTATTCGTAGTAGATTTATATTCATTCCAATTTTTGACATTCATGCCATTAATAACAATACCTTTTACTTCTATATAATTTAGGTTAATTTATATTTTCAATTTTAAGTATATTTATATTTTACCATTTCCTAGCGTGATTGTATAAAAACGGCAATTGCTTGGTTTTGCTATATTATTTTAGACTTGCTACTTTAGCAGATAATACAAAATTACAAAACAAGACTAGATAATTTTTTATGTAAGTATGTATATTTACTATAAATAAGTAGCACATATATTTTTTAAGCATATTTGCTTAAATTGAAATTGAAGGCAGCTTGAACTCGGTTATCACTTGTTTAGTTCTTAAAAATCTCTTTATATAGACAATCTCGAAAGGGGTCACCTATTTATTTTTTTGAGCAAATAATCTCTAAATTTATCATAATCCTGCCTCAGTAAATGTATTACAGTCGTTTGTAAATAGATAATACAATTGTTTGTCTCTTCCACAACTCCCTGTTCGACACAGTTATTTAGTCTTTCGACTGCAACAAAGTCCAGTTCATCTACATCCTGTGCAGCTTGTTGTATATCCATCAAAATCTTTGGTTTTTCTCCTGGCTCAGCCATGCGATATTCATTACAAAGCCGCCAGAATTCGACGCACTTAACTGATTCTCCAAAATTGTTATGCCTGAGATATTTTAGAAAGACTTCGGTTCCATTGCGAGAATTTAAAACATTTTCGAGACGATCCGTGAACCTGTCGATATCCTGCCTCGAGAGTTGGTCACATCCACAAATACAACGAGGCAGACGACAACTACTGGAAGACGCTTCATTCCTTGATACGTTCTGTAATAAGAAGAATTTCATATTTATATTAGAGAAATCTGTAGAACACTTTTCTTAAAAAAAGCATTTGTTGAAAGTATGTAATCAGGAAATCAATAATCAGTCCCAAACATTGGCAAAAAAATAACAGTTTCCTACATCCTACCTAAAAGTACCGGATGCGTCAAAAATAAACAAAACCTGTGTCGTATTAGTTATTTTATATAACTTATATACATATATACATACATACATATATATATATATATATATATATATATATATATATTGCCTGGGTATGTGGCCGCCTGCGTGCGACCATTTTTTAGACGCCCTTGAAAATAACATAATAAGAAAATATCAAATATGTTCAAATAAATCAAATAAATTCGATTTATAATTTGTATGTTTTCTTTATGTTTTTAGTCATTCTGAATCGTTTGAGACTAAATTTAAAGAAAAAAGTGTGTATATGAGCCGATTTTTGACTTTTTGCCAACGTTTTCTCTGAAAAACGGTTACATCGATTTCAAAAATTTAAATGTCATTTAATGTAACTACCGTCTGTGAGTTTTATGTAACAATCGGTCAAGCCGTTTCTAATCAACAAAAAAGTGTACAAATTTTCGTACACGTTTTAGCCAAAAATCTTGCATCGTTTTTAATCATTCAGAAACTGTTTGAAAGATATGATTTGGGAATCGTGCCGATTAGTTTTAAGAGATTGTTCGGATCGTTTCTTTAATTGTTAAATATTTTTACGACGATATTTATAAAACTTTTTGGCGATAGAGATCATGATCTCAAATATTACTAAATATCTCGACCTTACGACAAGTCATTTTAATTCTCAACATATTATCAAAGTTTGAAATGAGCAGCACTTTTTTACGTGAGGCAAAGTTTTATCTTTAGTTGGCATTTTTTAAAAAATGCGCAATACTATTTGAAATTTAATTTTTCCTCACGATCGGCCGATCCGTTTCTTTAGAATTGTCAAAAGTGTCAAATTTTTCGTCCACGTTATAGCCTAAATTCGTGATTTTTAAAATTCAAAAACCATTACAAAGGTAGTATTTGAGAATCTTGCTGATTGTTTGGCGATTTTGGATCCTGATCTTAATGAACAAACTACGCGTTTATTTCTTGTTCAATAATATTTAATTTTTAAACCATTTGTAAAAAATAACTAACATGTTTCGAAAATTTGTACAAAATTGAATAATCTGCGAGTTTTTCACATTGCAATGCACTCATGAATTAATATATTTTTAACTTCCCGTAGGGCAAGTTATAGTAATCGCAAAAAAATCGAAAATGAAAATTTTTATATATCTTTATGTTTCAGAGGTTTCTGAATATTTCGGCATACCTTAGAAAAAATGGATGTATGTGTGTGTGTGTGTTTCGGGAACGCGGATCAACCGATTTGAATAATTCAAAAAACATTCGATTCGTATTGATAAGGAGACGTGCTGCTTAGCTTTTGGCGAAGGCAGGTCTAGCCGTTCCGAAGATACGGGGAAAAAAGTGCCGAAAACGGTAACTCAGTTTTTAAGAGAACGGAGCGTCCGATTTGAATAATTCAAAAAACATTTTACTTGTATTGACAAGATAAAGGACTGATCAAATTTTCAAGAAGGCAGGTCTAGCGGCTTCGGAGATCTAATGAAAAAAGTAAAAAAGAATGCCATCTGGCGGTTAAAAATGATCATTAGACATATGCACATCAAATTATCAGATATTTTATAGAGATTTTAACAATAAGTATAATATTTTTTTACATTTCTATAGGTTCCGTACCAATGCTTATGCGTTAGACGGCGGCGCGGCACTTGCGCGCTTTGACATTTCGTTCAAGCAATACGATTGCTCTGAAAAATAGTTCAGAATTTCCAAAATATGTCAAAATGAAGAAAACATTTTTCTTTTCCAAAAAATTTTGTTTTCAAAAAAAAAAAAATTTTTTTCGAAGTAAAATTTTTTCAAAACTGTTAATTGTTTTTTAAAAAATTATAATTTTTGGTACGGGAAGTTCCAGCAATTTGCCTTAAGGCACGATGTCTTAAATGCCTTGAGACAGAATTCCACTTACAGCTAGTTAATGATTTGGAAACAAAGCCTTCTGTAGCTGCTTTTTAATTCGATCTCGCTTTCAATACGGCTGCCTTCGGCTGATTTTGACTACGGTCGTCTTTTAACTCAGCGGATTTTCAATACGGCCGCGAATGAATTCAGCGGACTTTTAGTTTGGCCGCCTCTTAATCCAGTCTTTCAATTTGGCCGCCTTTTAAATCAGTGGACTTTCAGCGCGACCGCTTTTTATTACGGCCGCTTTTCATTATAACCGCCTTTAAATTTGTTTTTTTTTTTTTATTTGGCCGCCACTCGGCCGCCCCAAAAGGCAGCCGCCTGCGTGCGTTGGAATGGTATAACTCTTTTCGATTTCAATAATTATATATGCATTCAGTTCAGCAAAAGTTATTTCAATTAGACTGCGACTTCTATTTACTCAGTAACGTATATTTGACCATAAAAAGAAACCTTTTATGCGACGTAGAAGGCATCAAAAGGCATTTAACACTCTTTGTAATAACTTTTGGACCATTTGGAAAGTTACAAGAAATACGTAGGGAATCACATATTTAAATGGAATATTTGACAATAAAGCTCTTGTTGTTGATATTTATGCCGTTCAGTGCACACATCTGCTAAATCCGAAAGTCAGAAAGTGGAGAAAAGCGATAAAGTAATGTATATTGATTTTAAAAATGAAAAATATATTTTAGAACGTATAAATGCATATATAGCTTACATGTAACGGTATATAAGATTTATAACTATTAATAGTGAGAAAATAATTATTATCATTAAAGTTAAAGTTTTGATATGACTTGTGGAGTTAATCAAGTTTTCAACTTTTTTTAAACTTTAAACTTTTTTTTTATTTTCGGATCTTCATTGCAGTCACACTTAAATTGTATATCGTTGGGTTTGGACCTTTCTATTCTAAATTCAGCGCATTTTAGGCCAATTTTCTGGACACCCTGTGATGGTTACTTTTCTGTTATTGATTTATTGTTCTAAATAAATAAAAAATAGATAAAAAACCTTAGCGAAGCATTCGGCTTAGCTACAATGGCGCTTTTTTCTTAAATGTTTTTTTATTATATTGTATCAACTATCTGGTAAAATTATCTCTCGATTTTTTTTCGCACGTGACTCAATAATAACAAAATCTTGAGTTAATAGATTAATAACTATTTTCACCGACCAGAAATTTATTTTTAATTAAGTTAGCTCTTATTTCCGTACTTTGAACAAGTTTCAATAAACTTCAGGCAGTTTTAATATTCTTGTTTTGCCGGGTACACGAATTTTAGTATGTTATTTTTTCAAAGTTTGTAACGTCTTCGATGTCTTTTATAAAACTAGATGAATTTTTTTCGAGACCCACAACACCCTACAGTTCTGTGTTCTTATTCGTAATTCATGAATTTGAAACCCGAAATCCAACCCAACCAGAACATATACACTACAGAATGGAGTTAATCAAAATGTCTTCTGAAATAAATGACTTATGGATTCAGAGGTCAAAAAAAATTTTCGTTTCACAGTGGCAATTTTCATTCTTTTGGAAAATTATTATAATCATAAAAAGTTATGATTATACCAAGTTCTTTCCCACTAATATCTCAGTTTTTTTTAAAAGTGTTTTTTTTAACGATTTTGCAAGTTATAGTAATCGCAAAAAAATGGAAAATGAAAATTTTTATATATCTTTACGTTTCAAAATCTTCTGAACATTTTGACATACCTTAGAAAAAAATGGATGTATGTGTGTGTGTGTGTGTGTGTGTGCGTGTATGTATGTGTGTGCGGATACAAATTTTCGTCGACGATTTCGGGAACACGGATGAAGCGATTTGAATAATTCAAAAAGAATTCGATTCATATTAATAAGGAGACGTGCTGATTAGTTTTTGGCGAAGGCAGGTCTCGCCGTTCCAAAGATATGGGGCAAAAAGTGCCAAAAACGATAACTCAGTTTTTAAGAGAACGGAGCGTCCGATTTGAATAATTCAAAAAACATTTTACTTATATTGACAAGATGAAGAATTGATCAAATTTTCATGAAGGCAGGTCTAGCGGTTTCGGAGATCTAGTAAAAAAAGTAAAAAAAATGCCATTTGGCGGTCAAAAATGATCATTAGACATATGCACATCAAATCGTCAGATATTTTACAGAGATTTTAATAATAAGTATAAATTTTGTTTACATTCCTATGGGTTCCGTACCAATGTTTATCCGTTAGACGGCAATGCGGCGCTTACGCACTTTGACATTTCGTCTCTATGCAGTTAAAGCAGTACGATTGCTTTGAAAAAAAGTTCAGAATTTCCAAAATATGTCAAAATAAAGAAAACATTTTTTTTCAAAAAAATTTTTTTTCACAAAAAATTAATTTTTTATCAAATTTATAGTTTCTTAAAAATCTAATTTGATCTAAGTAATTTTTTTTCAACAATGTTAATCTTTTTAAAATAATAATAATTTTTGGTACGGAAAGTTCCAGCAGTTTGCCTTAAGGCACAATGCCATGCGCCCCACTAGTTCAGTTTGCAAAGAGCTTTAAAGATTTTATAAAAATATTAATTTTCGATGCCATGAACCACTAGTTGAGTATATAAATATATACCAACAATGAATACATTTTGTAAAAGAAACTATAGCGACATTTCTTTTCGCCCTTTGTTTAAAAATAAAGGTGTGCGACGGAGCGCGACCGATTAACGTACGAGTCGAACGACGTCCGAGGTCTTACATCTACGCGGATTCAAAATATTTGAAAACGCGAACGAACTAGGGGAGATGTATTATTAGAAGACTCGAACGTTTCGTTTCTTTTCTTATACTTTATTATTCATGATCATCATCATCTTTATTCTATTCACCAAATATAAAGGAACTCTAACTTAACCTGATTCAGTACATAAAATATTACCTAATCAATTCTTTTAAGACAGCTTTTAATTTCAGAACGCATTTTATTTTTCATATTTACCAATCTACAAGTATATATTTGACATACTTTGGTGTACTATTTGCAACTGCTGCAATAATTAATTAATTGTAAAAAAGTAGTTTATAATAATTTAGGTAATTAACATTACTAATCTAAAACACTTACTCCAGGAGGATGTGCACTAGAGCGGGTCGATTTTTATGGGCCAAAAAGGTCGTTAAGGCACATATGATTTTCGGATACTAGGGCTCAAACTAAGATACTTTGCTTAAGAAACCATACCTCTAAAATGATATCCCATGTATTGACCTAAAAATAAGGGCTAAAAGAGTGCCCCAATTGCGTCCAAATGTACGATCGAACCCCACTAACTTTGAAAGGTCAATTCAACCATGCCCATGGTTCTTCACCCCCTGGGACTCCTGAGAGGTTTTTTCAAGATTTAACTCTTATCTTTGAGTCAATGCACGAGACATTAGAATTCATTTTAAAGGTGTGGTTTCTTCGACCCCTAAATCGACCCGCCCTAATGTGCACTATAGTAATATATTTGTTAGACATTAAGAACATTAACACCAAAATGAAACTAGTAGTATATGGCATCGTACCTTAAGGAAAATTGCTGGATTTTCCCGTGCCGTAACGAAATATTTGAGGAATATTAAATGTTTTCAAATAAATTACATTAATATAAATACTGTAACATTGTCTTAAAAAAAATATCAATACATAATTACGAAAAACAGCCAAAAACCTTCCCAACCGATTCCCAATCGATATCTTTTGAACATTTTTCAACTTTTTAAAAGGTTACGGGCTAAAAACGTTGATAAAAGATTTTACACTTTTCTGCTTATTATAAAGAAATGGCTCAGCCGCTCGTCGTACAAAACTAATAAACGCTAGTCCTTATTCAGTTATACCGAATGGCCTTTAAATTTTTAATATCGGTGCAGCTGTTTTTGAAATAACGTCGACTGAATGTCAAATATTGGCTCATATACATACACACACAGACTTACTTATACTTATACTTTTTCCAAATTTGGTCTCCAGAATGACTTGAAACATCGAGAAAACATAAAATTAGCAAATCGGATTTTTTTGCGAAAACATAAATCGGGAAATTAAAAATCTCTAAATTTAAAATGAATCATTATTAATAAATATTTAAAAACTTTACCTTTCTTGTACATCCTAATGAAGACCCCATGTTGAATTACACATAGCACAAAATTAAAATGTTTTTATTTTTTGTTTTTAGTTCAGAGATAACTTCTGGTGTATGGCCAAAATTATTTTAAACATCACTATTTCACACAATGAGTTAAATCAAACTTGCTAATTAGGAAAACAAATAATCATTTAGAGGAAACAAATATAAAAATCATTTAACATAATCACTCATCATCTTTACGCTGAAATAAATAGAGAATAAAATTAAGTTTTGCACTCGAAACGTTCTCTAAATTTTTGTCTTTTGGACATGCACATAACAAGTTAATTTAAAATTAAAATATATTAAACATAAGTTTAATTTAAATAATTTTTAATTAAAAAATCTTATCCCGTTTTGTTTATCACATATGTTTCAGAATTGATTGATTGTTTGATGAGGAAATTAAAAGTTGAATAAGTGATGATTCAAATACAGAGAGAATTTTCTGTCATAGAAACCTGAAAGGAATTCAAAAAGCACGTGCTTCAAATATGATAGCATCATTATTTTCATGAAATTACCTTCGAATTATAAATGTAAAGTATTAGATATAATGATAATAATATACTAAAGTAAAATATTAAATAAAATATTAATATTTTTATTAGCTTTAATAATGAGTTTTTCGGGTAAAAAGTATACTTTTTTTAAATAAATTTATCTAAACTAATAAATTATGTGTAGACGTTGAAAATATTTATTTTATAAGAAATCAAGAGTCAGCAGACGACAATGAAAAATCTGAACTTAATTGGACACATAACATCGCAATTATTATTGTTATTCTCGGCTAAATCTTTCATCATATCGAAAAGACTGCATGCAATAGAGATTTACTTTTAAATTTATCAAAAAATTGAGAACCGAAAACTATTGAAATAAGCATTTATTTGGGGCATTTATTTAAGTCTTCTGAATTTTCAACTTTCAACCTCATCAATTCGGAAAGATATTAAAACATTGGTGGCTCTATTTTAATTAACTTTTTATTGTATCCGTAAAATATATAAAATATAAATTGAAATGGTTTTATTGGAAATAGACTAGACTCTACACTATGTTATTTATAACAAATAATGTTAAATAATTATTTTTAGTGGATGAAAAAGTAATTTTCAACGAATTATTGTGTTATGCGTAAACATTTTTGGTTTTCAAATAATTTTCAAATTATATTTTTAAAATTCAACGACAAATATACACCTATTGCCCCCTTTTACACGGTATTTTGCATTTACACGAAATTATAAACTATAATTTTTTTCTTAAAACATTTTCATTGTTTTGCTGTCAAAATACAAGACTACAAAATGTATGTTACAGTTACGAACTCTTACAAAGTAGTTCATGTCTATGATGGAAATATAAGATAAGATGGGAACTCGCCGTTTTATGATCAAAACTAAATTTTATGTGAGTATAAGCTAGTTTGTTTGAAATACCAAAACAAAGAGCATTATTGTTTCTAAACTTTGTTTTCAATAAGTGTTTATATATAATTGATAGCATAAATTTGTTCAAGGTAGGCAAATAACAGAATTGTTATTTCAAAATCTATAACTAATATAAAATTTCATAGTTCGACAATGGCAAAAGATAAAAATAAAGAGCTAGAAAGTAACAGACAAGTTATAATTAAATCAAAATTAAAATTTTGAACAATCTCCGTAGTAATAATGAAAGAATAATAGCTGTTACTAATTTGTATTCTATGAATTAAGCTATAATTTATTGAATGTATTTGATATTAAATTATTAATATTTATTATTGTTCAATGTGATTCCGATATTAATCATATTAAAAACTGACAAAAAGGGCTTTTTATAGTGATTTTCGTTTAGCACGGTTTTTCGTGTAAAACGGGGGATATGTGCATCTATACAATAAATATTATAAAGTGATGTGAAATGGAATTCTATATATTTTTTATAGTTATATTGCATGACTTGTATGAAAATTAGATAACTGTCAGTAAAATACAGTGAAACGACGCAAACAGAATCGTGAATCGATAACGCGAAGGTTATAAGGAAATACACTAGAAATTGTTGCGGTAATATAAGTAATTACTATATTCTTTATATGTGTAATAATTTAATCATATATAATATTAAATTCATTTAATAAATCAGTAATTATTTTGCAGTAACGATTCACGCAAAAAACGTCAAATTCCACGTGTTTTCCCTATAACACATAAAAGGTTATAAATAATAAATTTATTATTTATTTTATTTCACATACGCAATATATGTTTTGTTATTTCATTAATAATTTAGATTAATATGTTTAATATTAAGCTTACGTAGAAATAACAATAATCACTTAATAATATATATTAATTATCTTTTCACAACAAACTCTAACTTTAATATAATTCAATTCACAAGCACTGATTATATTATCTGTATAATAAATTTTAATTATTTAAACATAACAGACAGTGATTTCACAATTCAATAAAGGCACTATTGAATGAATTTGTTTAGCACAATACACATTGTACTCATCACAGTTCAAGAAAGCATTAATAAGGTCACAGTATATAAAAGATAAGAATTACTCAAATGGAACGCAAAACAAATATCGAATTATAGAATAAAATATTAACAGATTATTTCAATGTTTTATTGTCTTTTGACTTTGTATCAGTTTTAATTTTATGTAGAAAAAACTTACAAAATTCATCGCACATGCGTCCAGCCGCGCAAAGGTTTGCGATGCGACTGCTCGATTCGGTTCCCATCGAATTGCGCGAGGCCTGAAAAGAATACACAAGAAAATAAAACACATGCGAATGTCAGATGAAGGTTCCGTACCTTCATTTTTAAGGTAGATTGAGTTTACAATTAGTTATTGGCAGTAGGCCAATGCCATCTTTTCTGTAAGTTAACTATATTTTTTATAGCTCACTTTTATCAGCCAAAAACTTTCAAAAACTGGTAGTGCGTGGAATCGTTTCTTAAGACAAATTGCTGGAACTTCCCGTTTCGATAATTAAGCTTTAAACAAATTAGATTTTTCTATTGTATCTTGATTTTTTTTGAAAATCTTGAACTTTTTTTAAAGCAATCGCGCTGCGTAGCTGTTCTAGCGTTGCGGTTTCGTGAATCGATTTGAGTAATTCAAATAACACTCGGTTCGTATTGACGTGCTGATTAGTTTATGGGAAAAGCAGGTCCAGGCGTTTCAAAGATACGGGGCAAAAAGGGCCAAAAATGCTATTTTCAAATAACACTCGGTTCGTATTGACGTGCTGATTAGTTTATGGGAAAAGCAGGTCTAGGAGTTTCGAAGATACGAGGCAAAAAGACCCAAAAATGCTATTTTAGCCTTTGAGATAACGGAGCGTCCGATGTGAATGATTCAAAAAATATTTTATTTAAATGAAGAACTGATAAAATTTTTGGGGAGGCAGATCTAGCCGTTTGGGAGATTCGATAAAAAAGTGAAAAAAAAATACCATTCGGCGGTCAAAAATGATCATTAGACATATGCACATCAAATTATCAGATATTTCATAATAATTTTAATAATAAGAACAAATTTTGTTTACATTTCTTTGAGTTCCGTATCAATATTTATCCGTTAGACTTTGAGCCGGAATTTACTATATTTCATCTGTGCGCAGCGCGATTGCTTTGAAAAAAATATTTCAAAATATAAAAAAATCAAATTTTTGAAAAAAGTCAAATTATTTAAAAAATTCTAAATCTAATTTTTTCAAAGTTTTAAAATAATTTTGAATCTTTTTAAAAAAAATAATTTTGGGTATAGAAAGTTTCAGCAATTTGCCTTAAGGCGCGATGCCATGCACCGCTAGTTTTCTATTTTTTTCTAATATTATAATATACCCTAAGTAAATAATTTTTAGTCAATAATTTTTCTGTCGTTTGCAATTTAAAATTGTACTGGGTTGCTGATACTATAGTATAGTATTATGTTGTTAGACAACATTACGTATTAGTTAATGTATTTAAATTTTGAAAGAAACATCATTTTAGCATAATTATTGTATAAACGCTTCAGGATACTTTTATATTCACGAGGTTCTCAGGTTTACTCTTCTGGAATTTTAATGAAATTTCGCATGGTGAAGTAAAGTTGATAGTCAAAATTTCTCATACGACTATAATATTTTAAAGGGTTCTCTTTAACTATCAATTCTATATCATGCAAAGTTTCTTCAAAATCCCAGGGAGTAAGCCTAAGGTTTCCATTGTCAGTATCAGATAAAAAGTAGACAGAGCAGAAAAAATAGAGACTTCAATTTTAACCATTGCATAGTATGATAACTGTACGTGTAAAGTCAACGTATTCAAAATTAATAAAAACTTAATATATCTATATTCATTAAAGCTGCACTAAATTGAAGCAGGTCGAATTAAAAAATAGTTAGTCATAAGGAGAAAACATCTAATAATTAATTATATTTTTGTTTTTAATTTATTTCATTAGTTATCACTAAAACATTGAGTAGATTTCAGTTGTATCTTACTAGAACAATATTTAAAAAAAAGTTTTTGTGTCGATGGGGCTTCCTAACTTTCTTAAAAACTAGAGAATATAACTAGATATATATGAGACCTGACCATTTGCGTCTTCTGCAAAAAGTAGTCCATAAATAATTACACTACATAATTACAGTGCATAATTTTATGAACCTGAGTATGCATAGCTTACAATTAGTAATAAATATTAGGTATTCTCAAAACATTTACAGAGTAAAGGTTTTAGATTTTTTTTCGTGAAACTATTGCGTAGTTAAGACAATAGAAAGTTTTTTGATTGTTAAATATATGACCTCCAAATTCCCACAATGCGTTTGGCCCTAAAGGTGCGCCTTTCAAATTTTCAATTTGATCCGAGTCATTTCTTAGAACTAACTGTTAAAGTATGTACTACATCTCTGAAAATAAAATCAGATTAACTATGAAGATCACTATATTCATAATATAAGAATAAAAAAGCATATGCAGACTTACACTGAAGATATGCTTTGAATTTATGAATAAATAAACCTCTGTTTCATTCCTCATAATAAATTCAAAAACACATATTCATAAATAAATCGAATTATTTTAAAATTATTATGATGATTAATTAGATTTTCACAGTAAATTAATATAAATCGAACGATTCTAACAATTCATAGCATTGATATATTGAGAACCTATGCTACAGATAAGTGAAAAAAATACTTCAAAATCATTTGCGTGTTATAAAAATAATGCTGCCAAAAATAAATCTTGACATAGCGCGATCGTAACATAAGTTGGTAGAAATGTATCATGCAACACCCAAATGGCACAGAAGAAAGGACCGCTGTAAAATTTCGCTGATTAGAATTTTGTACCAAAAAGGATCATAATTCTTACAAGCCCTGTTATTATATTAAATCTTTTGTTTAAGTGTTTGCTTGACACGATTTTATATATCAAAAACAAATAAAGATAGAGCTCTAAATACGTCGTTAGAGGATTACAATGCAGATTCCTCAAGAAATAGATAATCACATGATATCGATCGATTTATCTAATTATATTGCACAAACACACATATACAGGGTGGCTGATATGTAATGCAACAAAGTAAAGCGATATAACTTTGTCATTTTCATTTTATATTTCATTGTTCAAAAGCAAAAATGTCGGAAATGACATCAAATTTTAGAATCAGTTGAGATGTGTTCTAATTTGCCACCTTTGGCACGAATTATGGCCTTCAAACGGCAGAAAAACCATAACGAGCTGCACGAAAGTGGCTCTGGGGTACTTTGGCTCATTCCCGGCGAGGCGCCTTCTTGGGATGATCGACACTTTGGTATTTTTTAGTGTGAACCTTACTCTCCAAAATGTCCAAGGCACAAAAGTCCAACGAATTTAGATCCAGAGATTTTGGTGGCTATTGTGCAATGGAAATGAAGCAAAAAAACCTCTTTTTTAAGCCATTTTCGGTTGACGCGTGCTGAGTTTGATGGTGGTGAGTCCTGTTGGATTGTTCATGGTCTGCGGCCAAAATTTTTAAATACCCAGGACTTCAATACTGCCTTTAAGACATTTTCCCGATAATTTCGGCAATTATTTTGATCCCACGGTCGATGAATAAGAGCGGAATGTCACCATCGGCCGTTACGGTGATTCACACCGTTACCGTCGGCGGCGCTTGAGTTTTGGTGGCCAATCGAAGGTGTAAATTGTTAGCTGACCTTTTTGGCAAGTAAACCCTATCATTTTGTTCGTTCACAAACTGCTCGATTTGGAATGTCTTACCATCTGAGAAAACCAAATTCGGTAACTAGCCACTTTCGTGCAAGCGAAGCAACCCCTTGGCTCCTTCCCGTCTAACTTTTTTCTGTGCATCGATGAGCTCTTGCACTTTTTGGAACTTCAGTGGCTTTAGTCCAAGCTCATTTCTCAATATGTGTTGCATCCGTTTTTGTGATATGTTCAGCTCACGAACCATTTTTTTACCACTGCGATCCGAATTTCGATCGATTTTTGCCTATACTTTTTGGATCATTTCTGGTGTTGTTAGTGTTTTTTTTCGTCCACTTTTTAAACGCGGTGTAACACTGAGTGTATCACGGTTACGAGATATGGTACGAGAAACAAAATATTTGTTCGCATTTAAATGCTGGAGGGCTCTAAAGATAGCCACTTAAGGTTTTCCAGCTAAATATGAAGCAATCGCACTATCACGCTTAACTTCCGATTACTATAACTTATCCTATAAGAAGTTAAAAATAATTCTCACGTTGTTTGGAACTTGATGATCTTTTAAGTGCAACCTAGAGCTTTGGTGAAATTATGACCATTTATCGATTATTTGGATAAAGTTTTGTTCATTTGTCCATTTAAATAAACTTTGGAATCGTAACCGAAAAACATTTCTATAACCACAGTAGAAAAATAACACAATTTCCCCAAGTGATAAATAATTAAAACTTTTTGTGGAACTATGAACTTAAACCTTTCACAATCGATCGACTTTGAGAGGCCCTCCTTTAAAAAAAATCAACGAAAGTGTGTTGGCAAGATTCATCAGAAGTTGGCAAATTTAAATAGAATTGTAAAATCCTAGTTAAATGAATATTGATTCCGTATCCAACTATGAACTGTTTCGCTTCTGTTACAAGAAGATACCATGTTTTCTGCTGTTTTTATTTATTTAAAACAAATTTTCAGTTATATGTTGATTTTTTATAAAGTTTTAAAAATACCAGTTTTTCAACTATTTTATCGTTTTAAGTTTTATTTTTTATCCTGGTTGATTGCTGAATTTTGCCACAAATCAAGTGTTGAAACTTTTAATTAATAAAGAAAAATTTTCTTTTAACTCTTATTTTTATTTGACGAATTGGCTAATAATTATTTACACACGCACACACACACACATATATATATATATATATATATATATATATATATATATACAAAATTATTGTTCGAGACTGTTTACTAGTAGCGAATTCCATTTATTTATAATAAAATCGTTCGTTACATCAACTTTAAGAAATTTCGCACAAGAGTGAATCATATTGTGCTATGTTTGCTTATTGACACAGATTTCAAATTGTTTTTATTGTATCTCTTGATTTATATTGAATTATATTTTGTTCATCATATGAGTATGTTTATATTATTATTCAGAAGATTATTTTTCTTTGCAAGGAATGAAGGAAACAAATTTTTACGATGTAAGGTGGCGTCCATTAATCACGAGAGCGAGTTTTAAGGATTTTTGGACTCCCCTCTCCATTGGTGATACGTGGTGATATTCAAAATTACCCCCCCTCCCTCACCAAACATCACGTGTATTTTTAGTTGCGTGAAAAAATAAAAAAAAAAAATTTTTTTTGAAAATGTTTGAATGTTTTTTAAAAAAAAACAGTTAAAAAATAAATACACGTTATCTTATCATACACCTACATAGACCCCCCCCCCTAAAAACCTCACGTGATTAAGAGACGCCCCCTAAGTAGTATCTATTTTGCTAACTGAGCTCGGCCCCGTGAATTTGCAAAAACAGGTCTGGGTTCGATACCCAACTTGGCCAGCTTGATATCGAGCAGTAATGATTTTCAATTGAAATTAAAATCATAGATCTCGAATACGATATAAAATAAAAATAGATCTTTGTGATATTGTATAGTTTCACTACTATTAGAAATATAATATATTTTCATCAAGAAAGGAATGCCCAACCACTGAGTTGCCTTCTAGAAATACTAGATTAAAAATAAAGAATGTACACCACAAGACAACACCAGCACATTGTTCTGATTGCTGTTCACATATAAACAAATAGCTACTCTATAATATAATAATAAAGCAGTTGATCTACTTCAACTATATATAAATATAAATAAAGGGTATTCTTAACTTCCGTCGGGCAAGTTATTGTAATCGTCCAAAAATCGAAATTGAAAATTTTTGCATTTCTTCGCGTTTTTAAGGTTTCTGGATATTTTGGCATACTTCCGAAAAAATGGATGTGTGTGTATGTGTGTATGTATGTATGGATACAATTTTTCGTTCACGATTTCGGGCGCACGGATCAACCGATTTGAATGGTTCAAAAAACATTCGATTCCTATTTATAAGGAAATGTGCTGATTAGTTTTTGTCACAAGCAGGTCCAGCCTTTTTGGAGATACGGGGCAAAGAGTGCAGAAAATAAAAATCGATTATTTGAGACAACAAAGCATCCGATTTCAATGATCCAAAACACATTCAATTCGTAATGACGGGGAGAAATGGTGATTAGTTTTTGGAAAAGGCAGGTCTAGACGTTTCGAAAACACCGTGCTAAATATGCAAAAAATAGCAGTTTTTGAGAGAACTAAGCATCCGATTTGAATGATTCAAAATACTTTCTGCTTGTGTTGACAAAACAATTGCTTTTAGAAATTTTTTTTTTTTTTGATATTGAAAATAATTTGAATTTTAATTTTAATTCTAGCTATAGTTCTAAAGCTCACATATATACTTCAAATAAATAATTTTAACTTTGCAAATAATATAATTCTTATAAATATCGAACAATGTCCATCATTTTAAATTCAATTGATTAAATTTTGTTCATTTACCATTCTGTATACATATATACGTATTTATAATAATATATTTGAAAACATTTAATATTTCTCGAATATTTCATTACGGCACGGGAAGTAACAGAAATTTGCCTTAAGGCACGATGCCATACACCACTATTTTTTTTAATTGATGTTTTTTTAATAAAACAAACGGGCGTATCTTGTATTTATGGTTATATATTATAATAAATAAGTTATTGCATAGATGACATATAAATGATTCACAAAAGCATTTTAAAGCGGAACATATGGCCCTATAATACAGAAGCTTGGAATTGCTTAGAATACAGTGATATAAAAAATTCTTTTAATATAAAATTGTCAGCAAATTTAATATATGGAAATTAGCTGATAACTTATTTTTATATAAAAATATGTATATATAAATGAGGTTAAAACGAGTAATTATTATTGTCAGTATGATAACGCACCTTGTTTCAGAATTATTATTAGGCAGGCACAAAATACACAAATAATAATTTAAAACTTTCAATCTACTATTTCTATTAATTAATTATTTCACAATAAACTATGAAAACACCGGCTTCTTGACGTTTATGACAACACTGTTTGTTAAGGTGCGTCCACACCTAACGAACGAACACGAACGAACATAAAAGAACGTACCAGAACAAACGGCAACAGCATAGTGTGGAGCCACGACGATCACAAACGAACATAAACAAACATGGCGAGCAATGTTCCGCAACTTGTCGGTACATCAAAGGGAATTGTTCGTTCATGTTTGAACTCGTATGTGCAGTGTGGACGTCTCAACGAACGCAAACGAACATTTTTGTTTTAATAATTTTAATAATTTAATAATATTTTTTTAATAATTTAATAATAATGTTAATAATTTTAATGTTTGAAAATTTTAATAATATTTACTTTTAATTATTGTGTACAGTTTGAAAATTTTGAATAAATTATGGGATGGTCAAATGACGTAATTTTATCATTCATAAATGAAATAGAAAAGTTTCCTATAATATGGGAGACTAAAGACCCTTTTTATAAAATTATTAGAAAAAAAAACGATGCTTGGGAAAGTGTAGGCAAAACGTTTGGGATGTCAGAAGCTGCAGTAAAGAAGAAATTGCAGTCATAGATAAAAGAAGAGTATGATTGCAGTCTTTACAAGTAAATATTAAACTTGTTATCATACATAGACATTCAACATATATGTTGAGGATGAGAGTATGAAAATTGAGTATAGTTAGCTCAAGCCTGGAATGTTCAGCTTGCTCCGAATATGAATGCTGAGGAAAGAAAACGACTCAAAATATAAATATTAAATACAAAAACTGAGTGAAATTAATTGAATAATTTATTTACAGTATATTTACAAAATATACACGAACAAAAATCACACAAAAACCAGTGAAAATGCCGTATGATTAAAGCTTACATCCATATCAATAATAAAACTGACGTTTCACGGAACATCTACGAACAACGAAAATTCAAGCGCTCACTGCTTTTAAGCGCTTGTTCAAGTTCGTTTGGAATTTTTTGCGTTCGTTCGTGTTCCTGTTCGTTCTTCTTTGTATTTTCTTGTTCGACATGTTCGTTCGTGTTCGTTCGTTAGGTGTGAACGCACCTTTAGGTGTACAACAATAGTGTGAATAATTTTTCATAGATGGCCCTACTGGTGTCGTTCAAATGTGACACATAAAACATGATTTATTAATATTATTCAATTTAATATTTCGCTTTTTATTGCATGCATATTTCATTATACGTCCCCAAAATTAATGAGTTTTTAGAATTCAACCACTTTTTGTAGGACTACAATATTTTAGGGAGTTTCAATTAGACCATGATCTTTATCGCATTATTAAGTTTCATTAAAACCGCCAATTTTTTTAAAATTCATTTACGACGGAATATAATATATATAGATATCTTTCAGTTTACAAATTTGTTTCAGACTTTTTTGCAGATTTGTGATCGAAAACTTTTGCACTTTGATTCTAATATTAAAGAAACGGACCGGCCAATCCTCTCCCAAAATTAACCAACATGAGACCTCGAGTTAACCATGTAACCATTTAACCATGAGTTACATCTTATGGCTTTTACATTTTTGAAATTGGTCCAGCCGTTTTTGAGAAACTATCGACAAAAGTTCAAATTTTGGTTTCAACGTTTTTTTTTTGTTTTATTGGTCTTGTAATCTGGTAACGTTATACTTACTTTTTTGGCCTCGAACTATTCAGAATGATATGTAACGTCGAAAAAACATATAATACATAGATTTAAAAGTTTTTTGTGAAGATTAAGATAAAATAAAAACAATTTAAAACTGTTGCAAAAATGAAATTTTTGAACTATTATTCATGCATTACTCATATATCGATTGAATATTATTTATTTTAGCAAAGATGAAATAGATTAATATAAATATCGTAACATTGTCTAAAATAAGGATTACATAAACCGAATTGCCGATGTTAAAATTATTTATTTAAAGTATATAAGTGAGCTTTAGAACTTTAGCAAGAATTAAAATTAAAATCTGAATAATTTTCTATATACAAAAAAAAATTTTTTGAAAAAAAAAATCCAAAAGCAACTCTTCTGCCAACACAAGCAGAAAGTTTTTTGAATCATTCAAATCGGATGCTTAGTTCTCCCAAAATCTGAATTTTTTTGTGCATTTAGCCTTGTATCTTCGAAACGGCTGGATCTGCCTTTGCCAAAAACTAATCACCACTCTCCGCATCATTACGAATTGAATATTTTTTGGATCATTCAAATCGGATACTCCGCTCTCTCAAAAACTCGATTTTTATTTTCTGAACTCTTTGCTCCGTATCTCTGTAACAGCTGCATTTGCATTTGCCAAAAACTAATCAGCACATTTCCCTATCAATAGGAATCGAATGTTTTTTGAACCATTCAAATCGGTTGATCCGTGCGCTCCAAAACGTGGACGAAAAAATGCGGACATACAAAACACACAAACACAACCATTTTTTCTGAGGTATGCCAAAATGTTCAGAAACCTTGAAAACGTCGAGAAATGCAAAAATTTTCATTTTCGATTTTCGGCCCATTAACTCTACGGGGTATATTAACTTTATTGTATTCTTTATCATTAATATTACAATATTTTTAATTATAAAATCTAGTATTTTGTATAACCAAGAAACAATATAAATTATAATTGTATAATAGCATAGTTATGTCTTGGCGCTCTTTTTTCAAACAATACAGCATGTTATATCCCCTTAACCTCACATAGCATTTGCTGTCACTATCGTCTTCTCGGTTGCATGTTGCTCAGGCTTATATTATGCAATATTTACGATGTTTTTCCATGTCCCGGCTGAAGTCCAATCAAATTAATCTGCTACGACATTCTGTAGTCGAACGTCGTCGTTGTAGGTTATTAGAAAAAAGTTTATTAATATTAAACATACCGCAATGGCTTCAGCTTCAAGAGTTTTAGTGAGCCGGGCCATGGGCCTAGCTAAATTGGCCAACACAAACATTAAATTATATAGCACAGCATGTAAGAAAGAATTCAATATGCATAATTGTTTTTGTTTATTTTTTTAAATAATCATTGCATGTACGCTGTTGACGTGGGTGCAGTGACTTTATCGGCATTAACATCTAGATTAATACTGTTTGTTTTATTTTAATTAACAATTAACTAATTAAGGCATGTGATTTTAACACAAGACTAACATTTAACAAGTTGCTAAATGCTACTGACCTTGTCCGCAATGACCTCTGCTGTACTACTCGTATAGGGTCTCGTAATTGATTTAACATTAAGATTTTGATTTTTAATTTAACCAAAGATAATCTACCATATAACGCATTAATTAAATAATTTTATTTCTTAATTCTAACACAATACTTTCTTTAATTGCATTTTCTTTCATATTTTATGTTGGTCCAGAATCCAACCTAAAGTTTTGTAATTAAGAATTCCAAATTTATGGTTTGTTTCTTATGAGATAAATCAATTCAATTTTAAATTAAAATGAAAATAAACAGCAATCCTTTGACAAAAATGTAAAGTATTTGTAAAATATAAATCTTGATTCATTATTAAAATACTTTACATGAAAATATTTCTATGAATTTTTCAAATTTTTAAATCATTAGTCATTTCTATTATTAACATTATAATTAACAATTTGGATTAATATATTAATAACTAATGTGTTAAGGTTATTCATTTTGATGTCGAGCTATATGTAAAAATTCAATAAAATTAATATAATTTTTACATTTATATAATCTAACATTTATATAATCTTCTATAAACATTTAACTTGTTATTTTATATATTGCTTCAGAAGAATTACTTCATTATTAATTAATATTTATTCATAATAATTAATTTACCTATAGGTTTTGTAACAATCAACATTAACACATTACACATTAAGACTTTTAAAATTAAAAACAAATAGTTTTTAATTTATCCATTCTAAGTCACCATTATTAGTTTTTGTTTGAAATAATTTTCTACATAAAATACTCTTGACTTAGCAAATGTTCACATATGCATATTTGCATTATACACGTCTATTTATTAGAGTTAAAATCAAATTAATATTATCCTAGATAACTTGTTCCCTTTACTTAAATAATGTTAAAACTAATTTAATGATTATTTCGATAAAAAATGAATTGGAATTAAAAAAAAACAGTTTTTTAATGAAAGCATTCCTAAGCCACAGTTACTTTTTTGTTTGAAATAATTATCTACATAAATTCTCTTGGCTTATCTGATGATTTCACATGCATTTTGTACTATTACATGTTAAGATATGACAGTAATTGTATTAATTAAATTAATATTATCCTAGATAATTGTTCGCCCTTATTATCTAATGATTATTCGATAAAAAAGAATTGGAATGTTCACAGCACCAGCAACATATGAATTCATCAAGACTGAAAAAGTAGGAGCCAAAAACAATGTTCTTTTAATTACCTTAAATAGACCAAAGGCATTGAATGCTCTTTGTGATAAATTGGTGTGTGAAATTAATGATGTTTTGGATAAACATGAATCTGATGCTAACGTTGGAGCTGTGTCATCACAGGTAAAAACAATATAAACCTCTATTCATGTTACTATAATAAATCATTTTTATGCTTATTTATTAACTTATAAATATAATGCTCTTTGATGTAATTATTATTTCTGGTGAATTACATGATTCTTTAGTTCATTTTTTTAATGGGTTGTATTGAAATCAATTAGATCATTATTTTGCTGTAAAGATCAGACATTGATATATGAATTGCAATTTATGAATGGAAGTTATATTCAATATTAAAAATGAACAGGCTGTACCTCAATATTATTATTAAAAGATGATATGTGGATAGAATCACAAAGTAAAATAAAAATGCACTATAATCACTTACTTATGTATTTAATGCTAATATCCTTATGGATCATAATAAGCATGCTTTTATTCTGTTAGATTAATAATCTGTTACTTGTTTGTTTCTTCATGTTCGATGCCTGATTGTTATCACTGGAATAAATTCGATTATTACTTTCATGTGGATTGAGAATGTATGTTACATATTATTTGAAAATACTTCATAAATAAATATTTCGTTCATGATTAAAAATCACAAGACTCTAAACAAATCATATAAAAGTGGTATAATAATATGGCATGATAAAATATCTTACCATATATGCCAAAGACTCTAGCAGATTATAATAATTTTCCACACTGAAATAAATTTGACTATTACATTCATGCAGATTGAGTATGTATGTTACATATATTGAAAATACTTCATAAATAAATATTTCGTTCATGATTGAAAATCACAAGACTCTAAACAAATCATATAAATGTGTAGATAAGGATAATAACATGGCATGATAAAATGTCTTACCATAAATGCCAAATACTCAGCAGATTATAATAATTTTTCACACTGGAATAATTTGATTATTACTTTCATGTAGATTGAGTATGTATGTTACATATTATTGAAAATACTTCATAAATAAATATTTCGTTCATGATTGAAAATCACAAGACTCCAAACAAATCATATAAATGTGTAGATATGGATAATAACATGTCATGATAAAATGTCTTACCATAAATGTGTAGATTTGGATAATAATATGGCATGATAAAATATCTTACCATATATGCCAAAGACTCTAGCAGATTATAATAACTTTTCATACTGGAATAAATTTAATTATTACTTTCATGCAGATTGAGTATGTACTCGTATGTTACATATTATTTGAAAATACTTCATAAATAAAATTTTGTTCATGATTGAAAATCACAAGACTCTAAACAAATCATATAAATGTGTAGATATGGATAATAAAATGGCATAATAAAATCTCTTACCATATATGCGAAAGACTTTAGCAGATAATAATTTTTCACACTGAAATAAATTGATTATTACTTTCACGTAGATTGAGTATGTATGTTATATATTATTTGAAAATACTTCATAAATCAATATTTTGCTCATGATTAAAAATCACAAAACTCGAAACATAATCATATAAAGTGTATTTACAGATAATAAAATGGCATAATAAAATGTCTTACCATATATGCAAAAGACTCTAGCAGATTCTAATAATTTTTCACACTGAAATAAATTTGATTATTACTTTCATGTAGATGGAGTATGTTAGTTACATATTATTTGAAAATATTTCATAAATAAATATTTCGTTCATGATTAAAAATCACAAGACTCCAAACAAATCATATAAATGTGTAGATATGGATAATAACATGGCATGATAAAAGGTCTTACCATATATGCGAAAGACTCTAGCAGACCATAATAATTTCTCACACTGAAATAAATTTGATTATTACTTTCATGTAGATAGAGTATGTATGTTACATATTATTTGAAAATATTTCATAAATAAATATTTT